AGGGAGCGGCTCTTCGCGGCGGAGAGCCGCCGAGGTAAGTGGTTGTCAGACGGCTGCGAGGTTTGGGCCGTCTTTGATAATAAGTAAAATAAAAATCGTGCTTTAAACACGAAAACTGCTTGATCTTAACGTGTTTCTAGATATATAGAGAATGTATTCTTTCTCTGAATGCTTTAAGCGTGTTTCTTAGCTGTGAAAACGAGGAACTGCTGTAGTGTTCTGAGGTTAATCTAGTTTTCTTCCAGTCGAGTTTACCTCATATAACAGCTTTAAGGATCTAGTCTCGAATTTCTGTGTGAGCAGAGTACTGTTGAGTTGAGGGAATTGTGAATCAGGCCTTCAAAGCAGTTTGCTTTCTTGTGTGCTAACAACTTAGTTCGTTGTCTTGGTTGGTCTCTGAATTTTGGTTTGGGTATCGGAACTATGGATTTGTTGTGCGTTCAGATACAGCTTTATCTTTCTGTGTCGTTGTATTTTGTAATGGGTATTAAACCCTTGGTGGAAGGGGGGATTCTGAAAAAGTCTCACCCACGATGTATATAGAAACATTGGGAAAAGCAGGGGAAGACCCCCTCACTCGAAAACAGCTTAATAATGTATGGGGTTTGGTTTGTTTAAAGGGAGTTGGTACAATTTGGGAACTGAATTGGGAATTGAATTGGGAATTTGGGAATTGGTTTTGGGATACTTACAAGTCGGTGTGTATTGTGGGGTTACAAGTTCTCTGGTTATTTGACATTGATTAATTATTTTGGGACTCTGGTTTTGGGTTGTACATGATATATACTGTATATATTGTTTTGAGTGAGGTCTATGTATATATATGTATAAACATATTGGTTGAGGTAGTTTGATTGTACGCTGTATGTATATATATCATTGTAGTTAAGTGATACACAGGTTGTAGGCAGAGGGATTTTAAAAAGATCCCTTCTAGTATGTGTGTATGTGTGTGTGTGTGTTGCCTTAACCCATTGGTCAAGAAGTAGAGAGGTTGTTTTATTGTAACGTGGGTTCTCGACCATCTTCGGAGGGAGGAATTTTAAAGAAGTCCCCTTTGGGATGCTTATAGAAGCATTGGAAGAGGGTGGGAGGTGATCCCCTCACAAGGAAGCAATTAGTTGAATGCTGTATAGTATACACTGCCAGTGTATATTTTGCAAGATCAAGAGAAATGGCCAAAGAATGGAACTTTTAAAGTATAATATTGCAATTAAGGTTGTTTTGCTGGTGCAAAGGGATATGGGAATGTGTCTAAATTGTATTAAGTATGATAGGGGTCAGAGGAAAATCCCTCTGGAGTTTATAAAACGGTTATGTAGAGTGACTAGGACAGAAAGGTATGGAGTTACAGGCTTCTTTGCCAGCTGCTGCTGCTTTGAATGGACAAGGCGGAGGAGTACTTGGAGGTCGAGAGACAGAAAGGTGGAATGAAAGGAGGGGGGGGAGAGGGTGGGGGGGTGGGCAGGGCAGGGGTACAGTTCCTGAAGCTGATCTGCTTGTGAGTCAGATTGAAGAGGACGGGGGGATGACTTTAAAGGTATCCCCAGCAGATCCACCGGTTGCAATTAAGCTGGGGAACAACGATGAGGAGTTTTTAGTTGATACGGGAACCACTTACTCTGTACCCAACACCTGCAAAGGAAATTTTAGCCATGAGACTAAGTGTTGTTGGTGCTACAGGGAAACAAGAAAATCATCTCTCTTTACAGCCCTTAAAATTTAAGTTAGGAAAGCAATGGGTGACTCACCAATTTTTATATATGCCTGATTGTCCAGTACCCTTGATGGGAAGGGATTTATTGAGCAAATCAAGGATGCTTTCTTCTGCATACCTCTAGACAAAGACAAGCAGGCGATATTCACATTTGAATGGGAAAGCCCCACCACTGGAGGAAAACGGAACTTAACTGTACGGTGCTACGTCAAGGCTTCAAAAGTAGCCGTGCAGTATTTAGGAACCAGTTGGCAAAGGAGCTAGAACTATGGAAAAAGGAAAATCTTGAGGGAACAATATTGTAATATATTCTGTTGGCTGCAGACGCTCGGGGAGAGGGTCTACAGATGAGTATAAGTCTGTTGAATTTCTTCGGACAAGGAGGATAGCGAATACCAAAGAGCAAAGCCCAGGTGGGGAAGAAGACTGTGATTTATTTAGGTTTTGAAATCTCGCAAGGACAGCTGAGACTGGGAGCTGACAGAAAAGAAGCGGTCTGCAAAACTCCAGAACCAAGAACTGTGTAAGGGCATTTTTGGGTAGTAGTGATTTTAAATTGCAAAAGAGTTGTTGATGCTTCATCTTACAACTGTGACTGACTTTGAACAACATTTCTTTGACATTATTTCCCTAAAACATTCATAATTGATTTCTGTAAAGGAGAAACAGGGTGCTATATATTTGATTTGAAATAATGCAATCATGTCTCTCAGTCCACCTTGAAGCATGAATTATCTGTTGCATTTTATATTTCAGATGTTCAGGCTTTGAAGAATGCTTATGAGTTGATCAAATCAGCCAGTCAGGGAAAATCTCTACTTGACTCATCAGATGACTTCAGCACCGACTTGTATGTTATATGTGCTGAGCAAGCATTGCAGGTTTGTAATTTAGGCAGTTTATTTGTATTGAATAAAAACGTTTGTATGACATTTTATTTACAGTTGTTCAAGTTACTACTTAAAAATATTCCCAGAAGTACCTGTGAAAAATATTACTCTTCTGGTTTTGGAGAGCAATTCTTTAAACATGCATTTGCAGTTACAGATCTGCCTCTAAATTATCACTTCTTTGTAATCAGTCAGCAAGCTGTGGCTTGTGAAGTTTGTAATTAGACCAAAATATGCAAGGTATACCATAGTAATATAAAATAGTTTGCCATGTCTGTTTTTTCTTGTTATGGAAAACTAACATTAGCAATTTGATTGTGATTGAAGAAAATGTGTTTGTGAACAGTCCCTACTGGGCAAAAGAAGAAAAGGTAACATTCTAGTTATGAAAGATTGTTGCTAATTGAGCTGACTTCTATAAAATGCAGTAGATGTTCTTAATTTTGAAGTATTTTTTTAGTTTCCAATCCATGGTTACAGGTGATTTGATTTCAAGCAGATGGAGTTTCTAATAAAGCAATTTCTTTTTTTTTTTCCAAGCTGCAAGCCACTCAAATTCTGTCTGTTGTCTGAAAATTGAGGTGCATGACTGACATCCATACAAAATCCTGCAGGCTAATATCTGTCCTTTTTTAAAAAAATATACTAATAATTTTGCCTGTAACAATTCTGTTAATGGCTATTTAAAAAGTAAACATTTTTCGTGTACTGTAAGGGGTTCTATGACTGAGTGACTAGGGAGCTTTTTTAAATAAAGGAGCTATTTTTCTATACATTTAGAATAACGAAAGTATAGCTTTGAATTCTGATAAATCGTAATGAGTTTGTACCAGATATGACATGCAGCTTTATGGAATATTGGTTGCATGCTGGTATGCAGTTAGAAGTTACACTTTGAGTAGGCATGCATTTTTAAAACCTAACAGTGCTTAATTATTTGCTGCATTTTTTAAATATTAAAATTCTTTTTTTTGTCTTAGTTGGGATGTCTGGAAATGAGCAGTGACTGTCTACAGATGTATTTTAAAGGAAGATTTCCTGTAAACCAGTTTCTTGGCAGAGCATATTTGTGCCAAGGCCAGCTGCACACTCCAATCTCTACAGATAATTTGGTGAGAAATTACGAAGGTTGCATTGTATTAAGCCAATTTAAAAAAGTATTTCTTCCAGGTTTTTATGTATTGCTTTCAGTCATTTAAAATACACGAGGGTATCGGGATCATAGAATCATTAAGATTGGAAAAGACCTCTTAAGATCATCAAGTCCAACTGTCACCCCGACACCACCATGCCAACTAAACAATGTCCCAAAGTGCTACGTCTGCACGTTTTCTGAACACCTCCAGGAATGGGGACTCCACCACTTCTCTGGGCAGCCTGTTCCAATGCTTCACAACCCTTTCAGTGAAGATATTTTTACCAATATCCAATCTAAACCTCCCCTGATGCAACTTGAGGCCATTTCATCTTGCCCTATCAATTGTTACTTGGGAGAAGAGACCAACCCCCACCTCACTACAACCTCCCTTCAGGTAGCTGTAGAGAGCGATAAGGTTTCCCCTCAGCCTCCTCTTCTTCAGACTGAACAACCCCAGTTCCCTCAGCCGTTCCTCACAAGAGTTGTTCTCCAGACCCCTCATCAGCCTCATTGCCCTGATCATGACTGGGAAAGATCAAAGGAAAATACATTAACGGGTAGTCTGGGAGTAAGCAAAACTTACTAGCTGAATTGGACTAATACTGCAAATACTTTGAGGAGGAAAAAAAAGAATGCTTGCAAAATTTTGCAGACAGTGGATTGTTTTAAAGTCAACCTTTTCACTTTTTACATCAATATGATACTTTAAGACAAAATTTAACTGTAGCTGGTAAAACAGTTACCAGTTTTATTCAGGATTACACTAAGCATTGCACCGAATCGTGGGAAATGGAGGACAAAGAGGGCCCTCAGAGAGGTTTTACAGTTCGTTTCTCTTCTGTGGCAGTGTGCTTCCACCACGGATTAGTAACCTTTCCATGTAGTACTTTAGATATGGCTTTTTAGAACAAGAGATGAAGCTTTATGGTAGCAACTCAGCAGGATACTTCTGCTTCGAAAAGCTTCTGTGTGTTACTATTCGGTGATACCGTGTCTATACATAATGAGCAGTTTTTATGCCCTGCTGAATTTAAAAAGGAGCGGAATCTGTTTTCTGTCTTCAGTATTTATTTCACTTGGCCTCATACTGTGGTCAGTCAGCTTTGACAATTTGTCAGTCATATGTGACCCCCGAAAATGGCCTTAACAGATGTTTGTGTTATTTGTATTCACAAATTTCACTGACAGGTGTTGCTGTAGTTTCTTTGAATAATATGTTTGAATTAACTTTTGAGATAGGCTTTTCTGCCTGTTACGTTATCTGTACTTTCTGTACATTCTCCGAGCGCATGTGCAAAACAACTGACCAGTGGTCTCTTTGAAACTTTGTCCGCATTTGAAAAGTATTTTCTAATGTCCAGTTAGTCTTTTATGTTCCTAAATTAAACAAACTATTCTGTGATGCTTTCTCAATCTCAGCCAGATTTTGCTATTTTCTTCTTGACTCTTGCTAACTTTTTAGAAGTTTAGTAACTGTTCCAGTATGCGCAATCCTAACTAGGTTCCCTTGTGCTATGCATTGTAAGGTGCTTTTAAGATACACTTTATATCAGTTGTAAAGTTTCTTCACTGCTGTGTTCCTAGAGAATTTATGAAAATAGGACTGTGGCACAACATCTCATGCTGTATAACTAGTAATCATCATTCACTTACAAAAGATAAAATTGTCCTTATTTTGGTTTCCATCCTAAGGGATCCTTGTTAGCTGATTAAAACATTTATAGAATCATAGAATGGTAAGGGTCAGAAGGGACCTTAAAGATCATCTAGTTCCAACCCCCCTGCCATGAGCAGGGACATCTTCCACTAGACCACGTTGCTCAGAGCTCCATTCAACCTGGCCTTGAACACTGCCAGGGAGGGGGCAGCCACAGCTTCTCTGGGCAACCTGGGCCAGGGCCTCACCACCCTCATGGTGAAGAATTTCTTCCTAATATCTAATCTAAATCTGCCCTCTTTTAGTTTAGAGCCCTTCCTCCTTGTCCTATCACTACATACCCTTGTAATAAGTCCCTCTTCATCCTTCCTGTAGGCCCCTTCAGGCACTGGCAGGCTGCTCTAAGGTCACCCCAGAGCCTTCTCTTCTCCAGGCTGAACAGTCCCAACTCCCTTAGCCTGTCCTTATAGGAAAGGTACTCCAGCCCTCTGATCATCTTCATGTTCTTATGTTCTTAAGGGCGAAGTGCAACTTTTCTGCTTCAGTATCTAATACCTCTCAGGCTCTTAATCCTGGTTTTCTCTTTATCTAGGCAGTTTCCACTCATTGCTCAGTAGCCTGCTTATGCCAATCCCAGCATCCTGTAAATTAGTCCCAACTCTTGTGGGAGTTTTTAGTTGTTTTGTTCTCTTTCACCATAGAGAGCCCTCTGGCGTCATGTCCTTCATGCCCATCCAGTTCCACCTCTGCTTTGCCATTTGCACTGCATCTTTCTCTTAGCCTTTCAAAAATCCCTTTTTATGATCCCATCCATCTTCTTTACACTCTCCCTTCAGGTATTTGTACATACTGATGGAATCCCCCCTGAGCTGCCTTCTCCAGGCTGAACAGTCCCAGCTCTCTCAGCCTGTACTCATACAAAAGATGCTCGACTCCGTTCATCATCTTTGAGGCCCTTTGTTGGACTCTATTCACAGTGTCCATGACTCTCTCGTACTGGGGCGCCCAGAACTGGACCCAGTACTCCAGGTGTGGCCTCACCAATGCTGAGCAGAGCGGACAGATCCCCTCGCTCGACACTGCACCTAAGGCAGCACAGGGCACTGTTAGCTGCCTTTGCAGGAAGGGCACGCTGCTGGCTTGTGTTCAGCTTGGGGTCCACCAGGACCCCCAGGTCCCCCTCTGAAAAACTGCTTCCCAGCTGCTTTAATGATAAAAAGAGCATTCGTGACACACCATTCAGTTGACAAATTCTTGTTGGAGCTTGTCTGAAGAAAATAATACCTCAAGTTGTTTTTTTTTTTTCCCCTGGCTTTGCTCTTGGACTTTTCTGAGCTTTCTTTGCTGAAAGCTTAAGAAGTTTGTAACTTTACAGTTTTGGAAAATTTCAGTCCTGCTAATTAAAGTTTGGCAGAAATGAAAGAAACTGAAAATATAGTCTTAAAATTTGAAATCAGGAAAACATAGTAATAGGCAATGCTACTGATTTTTATTTATTCTGTTTCTATGACAGAAACTTACAATGACAGCATGTTTTATTTGAGATTGGTCTGAAAATAAAAATTATGAGATGTGAACATGTTGAAGTAGGATAATGAAGTACTGATTTCTAAAATCCATATTCAAATTTCGTTAACTTTTTTTTTGCTCTGTTCTAGGAAGAGTTTGAAAAGTTTGTGCTGTTTTTTATGAAGGCAATAGATTTTGCTACCCATGATCGAAGGTAGGCCTTACTGATAGGATTAACTCTTTAAATCTCAGGAAATGTTACTGAGTTATGTTTTGTGGTTCTTTGTCTCAGATTTTCACTAGGAAGTCTGGAGTTGTGTTGTTTTATTTTGGTTTTGTGGATTTTCCTTCCATTTTGTTACCGCACTGTAATTGCGTGCTGCAACAATGTAAGAATACTGAACAGTCTTAAATAGACGAGATGAATGAGCCCGTTCAAGGCTGGTAGATATCTCTGAGTGTTTCTTTCCGTTTTATATTTATGCTCTGTAGAAAGAGAGCACCATGTTATCTTAAGTGGTCAGTTACTGGGTACAGTGTAGTTGCAAGAGTAACTGTATTCTTCTGCTGTCGTTGTGTTCTCAGTTTTTAGTCAGGATTGGTTCTTATCTAAACATATAGGAAAAGGTCAATTTTTTACTTCTTGAAGTGTCTTAAAATATTCCGTCTGTAATTTTACGTTTATTTAAGTCCATGGAATACTGAATTCTTAATCCTTGTTTTTCAGATACTATTTTTTGATATATAATGCCTCAGTTCTTTATTGGCAACTTGTGAGATCATATGTTAAGCCTGGATTCCGCCGCTGTCTTATTCCCAGCCTTTCTCAGATTGTTAAAGCGTTAAACCAAGCTGAAGAGGAAGACAATGAATGGAGAGCAGAACTCATGATGTAAATTTAACTGTCTTTTTTCATATAGGTATTCTGTAGTCCTCTTGTACGCATGGCTGCCACCCAAGGTAGTCTTTAATAATGTATATTTCGTTGGTAACATTGGATACATGTATTGTGGAAAGCTTAACTGATAACTTTTAAAAGATATATAAATGTACACTTAACAGAAAAGGTGCTTCATTTTAATGTTTACTTTGAGGTAAAAATTTTAGTGGCAGAGACAGTTAGGCCCTAGATCCAATCTGAAGTATCACAGTCGTTTTAGATGTAGTGTTTGAATCCTTGCTTATGTGCAGTCCTTTCAAGTGCGGAGAAAGACAAACTCCCGTTTTCTTTAAGAAGTATTTTCTTCAGGTAAAGAAACAAAACCTTTAAATAGATAAAGAAAGATCTCTCCTGTCCTCTGATCCCTGAAGAGCAAGAAGCAGATTGGTAAGGTTGTAAGAACATACTCATAATACTTCCTAATTTCCTCCTTCTTCTTTATGAAGATTTTATATATATTGACCTAAGTTATCATTCTTATTATTTTTCTTCAAGTTAACCCATAACTGTATGTTGAAATGAAACTTTATGAAAAATGAGTGAGCAAAGTAAGTATTTGTATTGCAAATAAAGCAATTAAGAATACAGAGATGAGTTATGATCAGTAGTGATGTGGGTTTTATATGTCAGTCACATGCTTTAATGTACAATTTGGTACTGTATGGTTCCGTTAATGTAATTAGTTTAGATCAAGCTTTTTCCTTTCTAATTAGTATTATATCTGGTTTTCTTCGGTATTAAATTAAAGGTTATCCCTGCAACTTTGGATATACTACTTGGCGTAATGTGTCAAAGCATAAATGAAATAGGTCTTCTTTTAACCAGTCTTATGCAAAGTAAGAGCCCAAAAGTTATGAAAATGAGAATAACTTGCATAAACAAGACTATTGGGATTTAAACCAACAGGTTTTCTTTCTGGGAGTTAATGAAGGGAAATTAATTGTTATTTGAGAGCTAAACAACCCAACAAGGTGAATTCACAGAATATCTTTCAATATTATACAAAAAAATTAGAATTAAAAGTCTAATAGTTTTTAGGGTAGAGATTAGTGAGCTAGGGTTGGATAAAAATCCCTTCCACATTTAGGTCTGTCATAACTGAAATTTGTCAGCCAATTTAATGTTTTATTTAGGAAATAGATATTTTTTTTCTGATTGCATACTTTTCAGAGGTGTGTATAGTGTAATTTACAATGAATTAATTAGTTGATTCTAGTCAGAATCTTTAGCAGTTGTTGTTTCACTGAAGACAGCTCGTGGCTGAAGAAGTACTTTGTAGTTGTTGTCCCCATTTCAAATATGTTCCTCTTAAGCATGACTGAAAGTCCTGATTGCTTTTATAACGAAATGAAAAATGCAACCTGCTTAAATGTAATTTAAAAAGATAAGTACAAATGCAGAGTTTTTAAATAGACACGTATGTGGCTTTCTATGATGGTGTAACAACAAGGGTGGACAAGGGAAAACCTATGGATGTCATCTGTCTGGATTTTTGTAAAGCCTTTGACACGGTCCCCCACAACATCCTTCTCTCTAAATTGGAGAGCCATGGATTTGATGGGTGGACCGTTC